TTCAAGACTTTTTCTTGTGCTTGTTATTGTTTATTTATATTTATTTATTTGTTTATTATTATTTTTGAGCTAATCCAAACAGTTTTCGGTTGAGGAAGGAATAAATCATCCTTCTCTCATAAACCTTTACCAATCATTTGTTGGATGTTAGTGCGCATCGGGTTCTTCCTATTATTAGCATAGGATCGTCATGGTTATCAAGGTCGGATTGGATTTGTTAGTCAAATAGCCACAGGTCTTAGTCTAGAAAAAATGAGTTTGATAAAAAGTCAGTCAAAATCAATGTTTAAATTGTTTTAATTAGTGGGTATAATCGGTTTTGAAACAGTCAACTAGCTAAATAATGTTGAGAAAGTTAATTTTAATAGGAAAAAGTTTGTGCAAGGTTGCAACTTTAAAATGTAGAATTATGTATGCACCTCAAAAATCCATCGGAAAAGGTTGTTATAATGTTGAAATGCCCATTAATCGATCATCTAGATATCGAGATGTATGAATATATATAAGAAAAAAAGATTTCGAGTCCCAGAAATTGAGCATCTTGCAACATATTTATATAGACAATCCATTTTCAAAATTTTCATATATTTATAGATCTACTTGATTTGAACTATTTTTGGAGTTTAAAGTTTCATAATTAGATATAAAAATAAATTTTCAGATAATCCTAAAAAAATTTACACCAAAATTACATGATAAAATTTGGAGGTACGTCTTAGTTGGATTGTTTAAGGTTGCAACCTTATAGAAACCCCACTATTTATTATGTGAAACTATTATTCATCTTTTAATCTTTTTTCCAAATTACTGTTCAACTTACCAATTAATAGTTTGACTGTTTTTAACTGGACTAGACCCTTCAATTGGTTCTGCTTTTAACTGGATTAGACCCCTCCCTTAGTTTATTAACCAGTCCGATCCTAATAAAAATACAATTTTGAGCAGTGTTTTAAAACCCGGATTGATAGCGTGGATCTTCTACCCACAAATCCATGTTAGATTGTTGATCGTCGATCCTTAAAAATATTAAAAAAATAAAAATTTAAAAATAGAATAGGGTTTATGAGAGGTGTTTTTATGATGGGTTCTATATTAAAAAGTTCGAAAAATGACCTTCTCTCTCCCACACTTATGGGCCTCGTAGACCCTTGGGTTTATATAAAACCTTTTGTCAACTCAAAGTTTAGAAAAGAAGGCGAGCACCACCTTTTCATCCTTTATGACACGTTATTAGGTAAACAACGATTTCTCAAAAGAAATGACACAGTGATCCAAAATCCAAAACAAAATAAGAGAACCCTAAAAGCTTCCCTATTCAGCATCCCCTCCACCACCTTTTCCTCTCCATCCATCGTTTCCAAGTTTTTCTCTCTCTCTACTCCCTCCATGTGTGCTCTCTTTCCCTGTAGACAATGGAATCCTGACTTTCGCTCTCTAAAGCATCATCAAAATTTAGGGTTGTGCAGAAAACAAAACCATGGCTCTCTCATCTCTCAAAGCTCTCCGTAAATAAGGTTTTGTGGATCCTTCAGATCCATCAGTAACATTACTTTCTGATAACCTATTTGATCCGGCTGATTTCCCATCCAAATCGGCAATTTCTGATCCATATGGATCTTTAATACACTAATTTTGAAGGAGTTTATTGAATGTAAAGCCAAGGTTTTCAGGGCCTAAATAACACTTCTTGAACTTATTGTTTTCTTTTCTGGATTGATAATTCCCTTCTCTTTCTCCATTAACTTGCAAACTTCCAAGAGAGGGCAACTTAGGGAGGTTTCTACCACCTTCAAGGTCCATATCCTACATGCATTGTCAATGTACATTTATTGAATAGTTCCCTGTTATTTAGAAGTGCAGTTAATTTTTTTTTTTTAAAACAATGTTATTTAATAGTGGTATAGCTCGTTATTAAGTTTAGTCACATTTTTTTTATTATGGGTTATGTTAAAGTGTTAACATTAGAGCATTTTATAAATGTACTCAACAAATTTAAGATATTTATATACCATTGTTTTATACGTGTAGCATTTTTTCTATAATGGTATTTTTGATAATTTTATAACAAGTTTTGGACACTTATAACACACAAAAAACATTTTATTTTTAATAAAAAGTATTTTCTTTTCATTAGGAGATGTGTGATATGATCCACATGTGTATGATATCACCTACATGGAGCATACTAGTTGTGTTTAATGCTCCATGTAGGTGACATCACGTTCATGTGGATGATGTTACACCCTTTCTTAATGACTAAAAATACCTTTATTAAAAAAATATTTTATTACAAAATAATTATATATAAGTGTTCAAAATTTGTTGAATACAATTATAAAATACTATATAGTGTGAGTACTCCAACATAACATTTTTATTATTTTCGTAACATGTAAAAATATTTTTTGATAAATATTTTTATTTGAAAGAATTTCCTCATATGGTTAAGTGTATGAATATTTTCACACCAATTAGTCTTAATGCATCTTTTTAAACCTAACCCAATGATGTAATTTTTTCACATGCAAATATTTATTGAAAAATATTTTCACACAGACCAAACGCGCTCTCGACAGGAGAAAAACCACAAGCTTAAGTCGCTATTAGCCTTAGGACTTTTAATTAGGAATAAAGAAAGTCGCTCGTCTACATCATGTGTATGGTGGAAGGGTGCACAAGCACCTTTCTAACACATGGCAACATCTAATGGTCACAAAATTAGTGTATTTTTATTTTATTTTTCATTTTTTTTTAAAAATTATATTTATCTAGAATTTTGCTCATATGCATTTTATATGGTGAACAAAATAAAAATAATAAAACAGTATTTTAAATAAATAAAGTTGATCAAAATACCTATAAATTATTTTAAGAGTATTTTGGTTAATATTTTTCTATCAAAATATTATTATTATATTTATTTTGTGTGTTATAGAGAAACACATCTATAATCCAAAAATCCAATAAATATATTTTAAAATAAATAAAAAAAATAAATACAAAAATCTCTTTGGGCCACTTTGGATGCTATACCATGCGGAATAAATAATAAATAGATGATCTTCAGAATGAGATGTATAAACCATGCTTGTATGAGAGCATTATTGTACGCTTACTCCCTTAGACAGAAGACTAAATTGAGAAGATATTTTTGATCTGAAACGAAACCACCTAACAACAATGATAAGATGATTATATTTGAAAGAAAAAAGTGAATTTTGAGTTTCTAGCACTTAGATCTCACCTTTCAAAATTAAGATTGTTCCTATTCAATCTTGAAACATCATTTTTTTCAAGGCCATGCAAATTGGAACTTCTCTTACTAAGTGTAGTATGGGTTGAAAAAGGTTAAATCCCCAAATTTTAGGGTCTTAAAAATAGTCCTAAATTGGGGTTTACCTTAGAGAGTATATGGATAGTATGCTCCATTGGAGCATGAAATCTTTTAACTTATTCTACAAAGCTTCATGATGTGATTACAAGAAAACGAAACAAGATGGCAATTATCTGTTTGCACGAATAAATATTCACAACGTGGAAACTCTATGTAAGACGAAATATAGGATCTTAAATTTGGGGCAGTAGTCTCCTTAACCTATTATTTTATTTAAAAACACAAACTCTAATTTTAATTCATATTTTTTTGGTGTAATTATCTCATGATTTAAAATAAAATTATTTTAAGATGAGTATTTTTTTAATGTAGTCAACAATTTTTTAATATTCATACATCAAAAGTTGCATGAAATCATTGCCCTTTTATAATACAAATTATTTTTAATAAAAATATTTTTTGTAATTGAGAGGGGTAAGATAGATATTTTTGTAAAAAAATAGTGTCATTAATTAATAGATAGGAATCAATAATTGCTTCATATGGCTAATGTCATGATGATGTCATCTTTTACTATAGATAATAAATATTTGTATTATAAAAAATTAAAATTTAATCTTATTTAATTATCTAAAATACCTCTAGATAAAATTGTTAGCATACGGTGGAATAAGAATATTGAGTACATTAAATAAATATTTATATACGAGTACCCTAATATGAGCTTTTAAAATATGAAAAATTGTTTCATGTCGGTTGGACCACATTTCTAGGTCCGAAAAGTGTAAACTATAAAGCATTCATCTTAAAGATGGATGGAAGATGGTGTTCCATCTAAAAACAATAAAAACTAATGGTCCAAATGTTTTTGAATTAGAATGGTTGCTTCTAGTTTTTAAAATCTATTTATCTTTTCTTATTCATGATATCCACGCTTAGAGATTACGTGTCCCTAAAAATTAGCTTGGCATAAAAACCTGATCTTAAAAATATATCTTAAAATTTTAAAGAGATAAAGAACCTCTAATTACTCCCCGGGGAGTAAAAAATATATAACCCCAATCATACTCAAGGTAGAAATATCTTTTAGATCCAATATTTGGAGATGTGATACCGAGAACTAACCAACTAACCTCACCTAAAAAATAGCATCCTAAGATTGCAATCCAATTTTTGCAAGAAATGATCTACATATTCAAGAACTCAAAATCTAATAGTTTCCTTGAAAATAATCATCTAATGATAATTTAATGGATCCCAAAATTTCAAATAAAAAAAGATTCTATCAAGTATTTTGCTCGAGGAAGTAAATGTATAGTACGCTCCCGAAGGAGCATATAACAACACGCTCAAAATGAAAATAGGCGAGATTAGGACGCAACGGTTCAGGTTTAGAAAAGAAAATCCAGTTCAACCCATTTTAGGAAGGGAATCAGAGATCCTAATTTCAACATTTTCTCTCTCTAAAACTCTACTTTCTCTCTCCTATTGACAGTAGAATAAGTACGGTACGGTCACTAAATAAGATATAAGGGCAATTTATATTTATCAATAATCCTGACAAACTCCGAGAAAAAGCACCTTTCCCCTTAAATCTTTTCCCCAAATAATATCTAAATTCTAAATTCTAAACCAATCAGGACCAAGCTATGGACCTAGAGAGAGAGAGGGCTTCTAGAGAGAGGGAAGGAGGAGTTCTAGAGAGAGAGAGGGAGGAGTTCCAGAGAGAGAGTGTCTCGATAGATTCGGGAACGGTAAATACCGGTCAGGGCAATAAAATCGGTCGAGTCTCTTTCTCTCTCTAAAAACGGGATGTTAATTTTGAAATTTAAATTTGGTTCCTATATTTCCTGTCGTTGAGAATGGGGGATGTTAATTTTGAAATTTAAATTTGGTTCCTATATTTCCTGTCGTTGAGAATGGGGGAGTCTTTTTAGGGATCAACTCGGTTTCCAAAAAATAAAGAGTTGTGCAAGAGGGTTTTAGAGGAGGGATAGGGGGTTTAGAGCGAGGGTTTTATTTGCAGGAAGGATCGAGTTCTCTGCAATGACTTTAGAGAGATAATGAGAGCTGTGTAAATCCTGGTTAGAGAGAGAGAGGATTCCTGTGGGCAGGCCTGGGTTGCAGAGAGAGAGGAGAGAGGATCAATGTGAATAAGGGAACTTGCAGAGATTTCTTTCTGCATTAGAAGGTAGAGAGAGAGAGGGGTTTCTTTGAAAGGTAGAGTTTGACAGAAAGGAAATAGAGGTTCTTGGGGGCGAGAATGGAGTTTTAAGAAAGAGAAAGCGAGGAGTTTTTCTTTGAGAGAGAGAGTAGTTTTAAGTCTTGAACTCCCATCTTAATCTTAGAGAGAGAGAGAGATCTTAGAGAAAGGGTGGGAGTCAGCTGTAGTGATATTCTCGAGAGAGAGAGAGAGAGAGAGAGAGAGAGAGAGAGAGAGAGAGAGAGAGAGAGAGAGTAGGTAGGTGTGTGGTAGTGTGGGTGAGTGGTCGTCTGTCGTATAGTACGTACGTACGTACCGTCGTACGTACGTCGTCGTAGTACGT